ACATATATTCATAGAAAAGATGTGCAGTCGATTCAATATCACCGTCACAAGATAAACAAGTGTGAGCAAAGTGCTCTGTTAGGAACATAAGGAACAATCAGATCTGTGATATAAGATGGAGCCTGGCCATTTAAGGCTTTATATGTAAGAAGGATGATTTTAAATTCTATTCTGGATTTAACAGGAAGCTAATGAAGAGAAGCCAGGATAGGAGAGATATGATCTCTCTTTTTCATTTTCATCAGAAATCTGGCTGCAGCATTTTGGATCGGCTGAAGGCTTTTAACTACAGTTTGTGGACTTCCTGATAGTAAAGAATTACAATAGTCCAGCCTTGAAGTAACAAATGCATAAACTAGTTTCTCAGCATCACCCCTGGACAGGAGATTTCTAATTTTTGCAATATTCCTCAGATGAAAGAAGGAAATTCTAGAAACCTCTTTGATATGGGATTTAAATGACAGGTCCTGATCAAAAATAACACCAAGATTTTTTGCTTTACTATCTGAAATCAGTTTAATCCCATCCAAATGAAGTGACTGACTAATCAGCTTATTTTTCAGAGATTCCGGTCCAAAGACTATAACTTCTGTTTTGTCTGCATTCAGAAGCAGAAAGTTAAGAGTCATCCAGGTTTTTATGTCTTCAAGACATGCCTGTAATCTATGTAATGGGTTAGCTTCATCTGGATTTATAGACAGATATAGCTGGGTATCATCAGCATAACAGTGGAAATTAATCCCATGCTGTCTATTAATTCTATCAATTGGGCGCATGTATAAAGTAAAGAGAATTGATCCTAGCACTGATCCCTGTGGTACTCCACAGGTAACCTTTGAGCATGTTGAAGATCTGTCATTAACAAGAACAAACTGAATTCGATCAGATAGATAAGATTTAAACCAGTCTAGTGATGTTCCTTTAATTCCAACAAAATATTCAAGTCTTTCTAAAAGAATATTATGGTCAACTGTATCAAATGCAGCACTAAGATCCAACAGGACGAGCACAGACACAAGTCCATTATCTGAGGCCATGAGAACATCATTAGTGACTTTCACCAGAGCTGTTTCAGTGCTATGATGAGCTTTAAAGCCAGACTGAAACTCTTCAAAAAATTAGTTGTGGTGTAAGTGATCGCAAACTTGTTTGGCAACTACTTTCTCAAGATTTTTGGATAAGAAAGGAAGATTGGATATAGGTCTATAATTGACCAAGTCATCTGGGTCAAGAGACGGTTTCTTAAGCAGAGGTTTAATTACAGCAACCTTAAAACCCTTAGGTACATATCCCTGTAACAGAGATGGAGGCATAGACAGAAGTGTTGGATCTTTTTCCAGGTTTGGAATGAGCGTGATGACACCTTGTTTCATTGTGTGGGTTAAGCAGCTGTGTTCTAATAGTTCTGTAAGCATTCCAAACACTAGGGTTCTGATGTGATCCCAAAAATGTTTATAAAAACTACTTGTTAGACCATCACAGTCTGGAGCTTTGTCCTTGGATAAAGCACCCAAAGCTTTATCCAATTTTTCTATGGTAATGTCTGCTTCATATATCTGCTTAAAATTGTCATACATTTTTGGAATCAAGTGTTGAATAAAATGATAGAATGCTTCTGCCATGGAGTTATTATATGCAGAGGTATATAAATTGCTATAAAAAGTAAAAATTTCTCTGGATATTAATTTCGAGTCAGTGCATGGTTCATTAATAATTTGCAAGCATTTTATTGCATTTCCGGGAAGATGGCGAACCGGAAAGCCAGATTCCTTTAAGCTCTGATACATTAATCCCAATCTGATAGGTAAGACCTCCGTTTTTGAGCACCAAAAGATTAATGAACCTACCTATTTTTTTTCTTTGTAGTTTTTTTGTTTTTATCAACTTTCAGACAACAAAAGATATGAAAAGAGAAAAGGCCGATACTGTGGCTAAGCTAGCGGTAACCACCAAGACGGCTCTCCTATCGCTGACCACGAGTATGCCTTTCCAGGCATGTGTGTCCCAGTTCTATCAGTTTGGGATCAGGTGTTTCAGTTGGACCAGGAACTACCACAGATGCAATCAGAGCGAAGCAAGGACCTGGAAGAAGACTCGCTGATGTCAGAGTTATCCATTGTCTGCGATATTCGGAGAGATGTAGATCAATTCGGGTTGCCAGGTCCTCCAGCTGTTTCAGAGTCTGAGGATAGTCACAGGTGGAAAGTTCATCCTTTATCCTCTCGTTAAGAGAGGAAATAAACATGTCCATGAGGACGTCCTCATTCCAGGAACTCTCTGAAGATAACAGTGGGAAGTCTATAATGTCTAAGTGACAAAGCTTCTCTACTGGAAAGAACTGGGCATAAACTTGGATTAGTTCCTTGAGAAAAATTGTTACATAAACTAAGATTGTTCTGCCATTTATAAGTTCCCCACAGCTTTGCTCTACTAGCTAGTAGGCTAAGAGTGAGATAACCTAGGCCACCTTGGACCTATTAGAAGGGTACTCCGAAGGCTGAAGCTCGAAATGCAGTTTTGGGGAAATACACATATGGTGACAAAGGCGCGGCACTGACCAGGATCACCATTCAACAGTTCAGGGGGTGAAAGGTTGCTCCTGACCAACAAGTCTGAAAGTAGATGACGTAGACATGACGTAGACATGGAAGCTGTTGTAGACGAAAGCATGGGAGAGAGAGTAGCCAGACAGTGCAAGTGTGTTAGAATCTCCCAATTGCCTAATTCAAGCGGGGAAATAGAATTTTCAGGAGCCTTCTTTCACCCCCTGAATGCCACTGGCTGTCCGCCGATGGGTCCATGTATGGCCAGATCATTCTGTCAGGCTCAGAACAAAAGGACCCAGTTTTCAAGGAAGAGAGACAGTTAGGATTCACAAAATCTTTATTTAAGATGGAACTGTAGAGAACAGCAATGGTGTTTAAGGTAGGAACCTCTGCAGGAGGAGTACACAGGTTACTGACCACATCTATCTGGCAGAGGATGATAATGAATGTGTGAGTCATTAACCTGGTCTTAAAATCCAGTCCATACCATAGAGGAAGAGGTTGGTTCCAGCCGGTCAGCTGCCAACATGGACCAGATTCAGTGTGCAGCAGGAGTCGGGGGACAGGTCAGGCAAACAGATCAGAACAGGGATGGGCAGGCTCAGAGGTCCAGAGGCAGAACAGGTCAGCATCAGGCAATCAGAAAAACTCAGGTATGCTAGAGAACTCTCATCAAAGGCTCGAATAATCTGGCACTGATGACTGGTTAAAGGCTGGGTAAATAGAGGCGGAAGCAGGTGGATCAAAAACGGTAATAAGAACTGGCCGGAGCTAGGCAGGGGGATGAAATTAGTAATCAGGCCAGTCATCAGCACCAAGTGTCAAGGCTCAGAACAAATGACCCAGAATTCAAAGCAAAGAGATCAGCAAACTTCTCAAAGGCATTTAGTAAGAAACGTATCTGCAGCTAAAGCGTCTAAGGCCGGAATCTATGCAAAGGGAAAACTGACTGATCTGATGGAGGATGATTGCGAATGCGTGAGTCGCTAACCTGTTCTTAGAGTTCAGTCTGTGCCCAGAGGAAGGAGGTGATTCCAGCCAAATGGCTGCCAACAGCACATGGCGAATGTCACCCAGAGAGTTCCAGGAATTGAAGCCTTGAAGACTGCAGAACTGGATGATTAGCAGATCTAAGCAGATGAAGGAAGGCAGGACTTTCAGGATGACAAAGCCAAAGCTGGTGTCTAAGAGGTTCACAGGAGTCCAGACCAGAAGATTAGAGATCCAAAGAGATGCTGAAGGGATATCCAGGTCAAAGTCAGGAGGCACCATCCAGATTCAGTCCACGGTTGGAATCCAGCAGGAGTTCGAAGACAGGTCAGGCAAACAGATTGGAACAGGAACAGGCAGGTTCAAAGGTCCGAAGACAAAACGGGTCAGGATCAGGCAATCAGAACACAAACAGGTATGCTAGAGAACTCTCACCAAAGGCTTGCATAATCTGGCACTGATGACTGGGAGCAAGAAGTTAAAATAGAGACTAGAGCAGGTGACACAGATGAGGGGTGATGAGAAACTGGTTAAAGCTAGACAGGTGAATGGAATGAATCATTAAGCCAGTCATCAGTGCCAAGATAATGACAGTGAGATCATGACAGAAATATAGAAATGAATGATCAAAAGCACTAATAAATAAATGTAAAAATATGAGAATAAATTAATGAATACATTAATGAACAAATGAATAAATAAATGAATATATAAATGAGTATATGGTTTCAAAAAGGATCCAATTATTCATACTCAATAATTGTAATATTCTTATTCATTTCTGCATCTCTCCTCAGTTATGTCCGTTTTGGTTCTCCGTAAATTTGGGGCATCGTCAAAGAAATAACCTAAAGTCCCTGAGCTCCATAACAGAGGCAATGTAAGGTACAATCAGAGAGCTGCAAAGCTTAATTATCAGCAGCAGAGATTTGGGAGCAGAGTGAACTCTGTGTCATTGGTCCTGCCTTCTCTTTTTTTTTTTTTACTTCCTAATTTTTATTCTTCATTCTGATAAACCTGGAAACAAAAGCTTCAGCTTATTTCTTTTAACGCCTTTTTGGAAACAGAATAATTTTCATAAAACTAATTCAACACCTGAAGACTAATCTTGCAGCAGGTTGCTTTGCTGATGTGGTAATGAGTAGAAGACATGTAAAGAGAAAATTACAAACACATCATGTGATACGAACATAAAGGTGTTGCAGTAAAATGAGCCTGGTTACACAATAACAAGACTGTTTGGATGATAAACTTTACAACCTGCAGACTGGGCTGCAGGTTTTTACAAGTACGTTTAATTTCTCACAGAAATGAAACCATGAAGAATACTTCACAAACATTTAAAATAAATCCTGATCACAGAATATCAATAAAAAGCTCTGATAACCTTGTTATCAGAACCTTGTTCTGTTCTGTGATGATCTGCTTGTTTGATTTCAGTGCATCACAACTTGGAAATGTAGATTAGAAACCCTCCTCCTACTTCTGGAAAACTGAAACCTAAAGCTGCTTTAAAGCAGTAACTGCTTCCTACAATGATGCATTTTGTGTCAAAGTCCAGAGACGACAGCTGCTTTTTTCCATCATGGCTTTCAACCAGCCTCCCTTTTACAACCCGGTGAGTGGACTCAGGTTCTGGTTCTGTTTGTTACTCTGAGGCTCAGTCTGGGAGCAGCTCATACTGTTTTATGTTACTGTTACTAAATCCAACCTGCACCTGCTGAGCTCTGCTTCGCATCTGGGCCAATATGCCTTTAATTAGCTGTTGAGGGTGTAAAACTGATGCAGGCAGTTTTATCAGAAATGTTGCTTCTTGCAAGACCAACGTTTTTTGTTGGTTTTTTGCTTTTTTTTTTCCTCACCTCTAATCTGACATAGACGACTGAAGTCAAGCCAGCCTCTACTTTGAAAGGGACCATCACACCAGCCCTCTCTAAGTTTTTATAGGTCATACACACCATGAATGGCAGAAACATTAGTTTGGACTTTTCAAAATACAAGCGACATGTTTAACATCTGTTTACTGGAGTCAGTTTTCATTTATACTCCTCTGGTTTTGAAATTATTTCTCATGTAATTCTGTGAAAATTTATATGATTTTAGTGGCATTTTTGCTCTTTATTTTAGTCCCTGTTGTATGTAGTTCGATTGTTTTTATTTCAGAATACCTACTTACAGTACTGTAGCTTAGCTTCCATGGATTTTAAATATAAAATGTGTCTCCCGTTAATATTTAACAGTGATAGTAGAAGTGATAGACTCGTAATTGCTGCTTAGCAAAGGTCATCAAGATCTGATGTGGACTTTCAAAATTAAAGCCTCTCAAAATCCAAACATTTTCTAAATATCTAACCTTAGATGAAATAAATTGGTATTCTGAAATAGAAAGCATTGAATAAAGAATGTAAAAAAAATAACTAAAATAAAAGACACATTAAAATCATTCTCATATATTCATATTCACAGGAGAACGTAAGAAATATTTTTTAGACCAGATGGATATACAGGTGCTGGTCATAAAATTAGAATATCATGAAAAAGTAGATTGATTTCAGTAATTCCATTTAAAAAGTGAAACTTGTATATTATATTCATACATTACATACAAACTCATATATTTCAGATGTTTATTTTGTTTAATTTTGATGATTACAAATGACAACAAATGAAAATCTCAAATTCATCATATCAGTAAATTAGAATATTACCGAAGACCAATAAAAACAAAGGATTTATAGAAATGTTGGCCAACTGAAAAGTATGAACATGAAAAGTATGAGCATGTACAGCCCTCAGTATTTAGTTGGGCCTCCTTTGGCCTGTATTACTGCAGCAATGCGGCGTGGCATGGAGTCGATCAGTCTGTGGCACTGCTCAGGTGTTATGATAGCCCAGGTTGCTCTAATAGTGGCTTTTAGCTCTTCTGAATTGTTGGGTCTGGTGTATTGCATCTTCTTCTTCACAATACCCCATAGATTTTCTATGGGGTTAAGGTCAGGAGAGTTTGCTGGCCAATTAAGAACAGGGATACCATGGTCCTTCAACCAGGTACTGGTAGCTTTGGCACTGTGTGCAGGTGCCAAGTCCTGTTGGAAAATGAAATCTGCATCTCCAAAAAGTTGGTCAGCTGCAGGAAGCATGAAGTGCTCTAAAACTTCCTGGTATGTGGCTGCGTTGACCCTGGACCTCAGAAAACACAATGGACCAACACCAGCAGATGACATGGCACCCCAAACCATCACTGACTGTGGAAACTTTACACTGGACTTCAAGCAACGTGGATGAAGTGCCTCTCTTCTTTTCCTCCAGACTCTGGGACCTTGATTTCCAAAGGAAATGCAAAATTTACTTTCATCAGAGAACATGACTTTGGACCACTCACCAGCAGTCCACTCCTTTTTCTCTTTAGCCCAGGCAAGCCGCTTCTGACGCTGTCTGTGGTTCAAGAGTGGCTTGACACAAGGAATGCGACAGCAGAAACCCATGTCTTTCATACGTCTGTGTGTGGTGGTTCTTGAAGCACTCACTCCAGCTGCAGTCCACTCTTTGTGAATCTCCCCCACATTTTTGAATGGGTTTTGTTTCACAATCCTCTCCAGGGTGCGGTTATCTCTCTTGCTTGTACACTTTTTTCGACCACATCTTTTCCTTCCCTTCGCCTCTCTATTAATGTGCTTGGACACTGAGCTCTGTGAACAGCCAGCCTCTTTAGCGATGACCTTTTGTGTCTTGCCCTCCTTGTGCAAGGTGTCGATGGTCGTCTTTTGGACAACTGTCAAGTCAGCAGTCTTCCCCATGATTGTGTAGCCTATAGAACTAGACTGAAAGACCATTTAAAGGCTTTTGCAGGTGGTTTGAGTTAATTAGCTGATTAGAGTGTGGCACCAGGGGCCATCAATTTTGAACCTTTTCACAATATTCTAATTTTCTGATATGATGAATTTGAGATTTTCATTTGTTGTCATTTGTAATCATCAAAATTAAACAAAATAAACATCTGAAATATATGAGTTTGTATGTAATGTATGAATATAATATACAAGTTTCACTTTTTAAATGGAATTACTGAAATCAATCTACTTTTTCATGATATTCTAATTTTATGACCAGCACCTGTAAATGTTGACTACCCCAGTTGATAATAGTTAAACATGCTTTTATTTTGAAAGGTCCAAGCCAGCGTTGCTACCATACTACATGGTGTATGCCTCACCTAAAACCCAGTGAGGGCTGCCTTGACTTCCTTCATACATTTTTTAAAAAGATGTATTTTGGCTGTTATCCTTTTTTTAGTCTGCGGGTCGTTTCAGTTCTTCATCTTCTCTGAACTTTTCTGACCTTTTTAAGGATTTCTTTTATTTCCTGTTTCTTTCTTTTTTTTAGCACTAGACACTTTTTATATAGGCTGACTGTATATGGGTTGAAGCTTCAGAGTTTTTCAGATTTGGATTTTGTAATTTATTGGGTTGGTGAGTGCTCACAAGAACCAGCTCCACTGTATGGACCATCAAGAGGTCAAGAACAGATAGAAACCTGGACTGATATCACCCTAACAAGAAGAACACATGGAAAATAAGTTGTGATGGTTTAGTTAAAAAAAAACATTTTTTTTGTGTGTGTCAGAAATCTGTTTTCATATTTTAGAAACTGTTTTTCATGCTTATTCAGTCCAAGAATATCCTAAAAGCAGCTTCAGAAACCCAGAGTCAGGTCCATAGTCTGCAGGAAATAAAAAAAAATAAAACCTGACCCCTGACTGGTGAAGCTTTCATCTCTATTTTTTATGACATGTCATGTTTTTTATGGTTGATAACATTAATTAATCCCCTAACTTTACTAAATAGCTCAGAAGGAGGGATTTATCCAGCTAAATAGGATAATTTTTTATTATTTTCTCAGGATACAGATTTTGTTTTACCTCAACACAAACATTAAAAGTTTAAATGAATTGTAAAGAAAAGTTAAAATTAGCGGGCATTTAAAACTGTGAAGAAATAGTCAGACGGGTCAAATTTAACATCGCTGTCTGCCTCTAGAGAGAAATGTTTAGGGGAACTCAGAGAAGTTTGTTCATTTATTAGTTTTGTTTTTTGTACGTGGAGTCAAACATCCCCAGAGTGTAAAGGATTAAAGAAATGATATCTGTATGATAAAACTATATGTTATTATTATTTTCTTATTATATTTTATTTTTCTTATATATTATTATTACAACTTCTAGTACACAATTAAAAACAGGGAGAGGCACTTATCTTACAAAAGATTAACAACAAGATCAGATAAAGCTTAATAAGGCAATCCAAGTATAACAATTGTAATTAATAATTTACAGGTTAAACATGGACCTGATTTATGTTTTTACATCATAACAAATAATGCCAATTATGGGACTTTCTTTTATACAATTCATATATGAGGAAAATATTTTAGTTATTTTTAAGACTAATTTCACTAGAAAGTAGAGATCAGGAAGTCCCTGAAGTCACTGGCTCCCTGTAGCTCAGAGATAGACTCAGCTATTGCTGCAGCAATAAAGTTGGACTTTATTAAAGTTGGACTTTATTTCGACATATTTTTCCAATCATTATGCAAGCCTCCGCCTGACTTTATGTTGCAGGAATGCTGAGAAACGCACAATCTCAGTTAAAGGTTATCTGTTCCCTTTTGGTGCAAAAGGGAGGATTTTTAAATCAATTAACATAGTTTTTTGTTTTTTTTTTCCAATAAAGACTTTTTATTGTTTACCCCAAGAAACAGAAACAGATGTTATCTTCATCGAAGCCTTCATGGGTAATTTCTAAATACTGCATTCAGATTTGATCTGCTTGACAAAATGGCTGCATCGGCTGACTGGAAGGTTTTTATAAAAGCTTGAAAGATTTGAAGTATTTAAATGAAATATTCTCCTTTTTTTCTTTCCAACCAGTCTGCAGTTCTATAAATAAAACCTTATTTATAAAAGCATTTTAAATTTTAAACAAAGGCTGACTAACAGAAGAGACACAGAAAATAAATAAAATCTAAAGCTCTTTAACAACAAGCTTCCTTGTTCTGCGATGAGGAGAAGGAAATGAGGGACAGTGATATGGAACGGTCTGGTTATAAAGGTTAATAATTTCAATTCAATTCAATTCTTTTATTAAGGGATAGCCCCTTGAGATGATCCATCTCGTTTTCGAGGGGGGTCCCAAGAACAACAGAGACAAACAATACACACAGTCACACATCCATACCAAAGCTCTTCATCACTACAAGCTAAACAGTCCAACATCTCTACACAAATATATTTATGCAGGTAAACAAACAAATAGAAAATATATGTATCTATATATATAGAACACTAAGCAGAAATAAAATAAGAATAAAATACAAGTAAAGTACTCAGGAGAAAACCCACAATTGGAAAATCAGTTAAATAAATAAAAAAGATAAGAAGGAAAAATAAGCATGTATATATGCACAACCGCACACATGAATATAGGTACAGCAGCAGGTACATAACTTTTTGTTTTGTTTTGTTTTAAGGACCACGGCCAGGAAAGCAGGTGCACTGGTCTCTTGAATGCAGAAAACTTAATAAGGATGATTTAAAGTGAGGAAAAGATGAAATTGATCTCAGTGATCTGGGTAAGCTATTCCAGTCAGAAGGGGCTTTAAATCTGAAGGCACGTCTTCCTATTTCTTTAGATATTCTTGGAACAGAAAAGAACAAATGATCAAGATGTCTAAGTCCATAAGTAGACCTATATGGATTCAAATGGTTTTGTAAATAGGATGGATAATTAAAGAAAAAACATTTATAAATAAACTGAAACCAGTGTAACTGCCGTCTAGTCTTAGGTGATAAGAGGTTAAGTTGCTGATACATGTGACAATGGTGGGTAAGGTATGGGCATCTCAACACAAATCGACAGAGACTGTTGAAAACAACATTTAGAGATTTAAGGTGTGATTCTGTTGTATTCATATACACAATGTCAGCGTAATCAAGGATTGGAAATAAAAGCTGTGTTACAATTCGTAGTCTGATCTGTTGAGTGAAACAATTTATAGAGCAATATAAGAGTCTAAGATTGAAATTAATTTTCTTGACAACGGAGTCAATATGTGACTTGAAGGAAAGATTGGAGTCAAGCAGTAGGCCCAAATATTTAAATTCTTCCACATTCTCCATAAGAGTATCATCCAGAAACCTTATTGACAGAGTATGATCTTGCTTAAAACGGGTTGTCCTGTTGTCAAAAAGCATACTGTAAGACTTAGTCTTATTAAGTATGAGCCCATTCGCTGTAAACCACTTCTGAATATCATCAAAGTCTGATTGCAATGAAGACTCAATCAAACTAATGTCAGGTTTAGCAGAGTAAATAACTGTATCGTCAGCATACAGCAGGATATTACAGTTTGAGCATACTTTTGGAAGGTCATTTATGAATATAGAGAACAACAGAGGGCCTAAGCATGAACCTTGCGGAACCCCATTTTCCATAACTGTGTACTGAGAAAGACAGCCATTGAAAGCCACCGACTGACGTCTTAAATGAAGATAAGAATTAAACCAAAAAAGTGACTGCTTACACAGACCGATACCATGCAGTTTGTCAAGAAGTAAATAGTGATTGACCAAATCAAAAGCCTTGGTGAGATCTATAAATATTGCTCCAGTAGGCATGTTATTGTCTAAAGAGGATGTAACATCATTGACAAACTTTGTGAGGGCAGTAGTGGTAGAGTAGTTTGGTCTGAAACCTGATTGCATCTCAGAAAGGACAGAGAAGTCATTGACATATTTAAACAATCGCTTAAAAATAATTTTTTCAAATATTTTTGCCACAGTATTAATAATCGAAATTGGTCTATAGTTATTTGGGTCAAGTGGATCACCACTTTTATGTATAGGTGTTACTCTAGCATACTTCCACATGGCTGGAACTTCAGATGTGGATATGGATAAATTAAATAGATAGCATAGTGGAAATGCCAGGATGTGAGATGCAATCTTAATAAACTTAATTTCCAGACCATCAGGACCAGCACTACCAGATTTAGTATCAGAGATAGCCTGTTGCACTTCAGTAGGAGTTATTGTAGTTAGTGTAAAAGAAGTATTGGCTACTGGTGAATTTACAAGATTGGAATGGAATAGATTAGATGGGCATAATTTGCTTACAGAGGAAAAATGTTGGTTAAATGCATCAGCCACAGTAGCAGGGTCACTACTAATTTTATCATTTACACGAAGCGATAGAGGAGAATTCACAGCAGGTTTATTCAATAAGCTGTTAAGTTTTTTCCAAAATTGTTTTGGACTAGTGAAGTCATTAGACAATGCTGTCTTATAGTAATTTGACTTTGCATTCCTTGTTTTCACAGTACAGATATTACGTAATCTCTTATATTCGATCCCATCAACCATAGCTTTTGTTGATTGGTAACGCTTCCAGGCCTTATCCCTTTCCTTAAAAAGATGCAACAGGTCACCATCAATCCATGGTAGATGCCTACCCTTGACTTTCACCGATACCCATGGTGCATGCTTGTCAATCACATTGTGTACCTCAGTATGAAAAAAAGTCCAAGCATCCCCAACATAAGGAATAAGTTCTAACCTAGACCAATTGATATTTAGCAAATCATTAATAAAGGAATCTTCAGAAAAGTTTTTATGTTGTCTTACTTTAATTATTTTAGATGGCAATCGTGGCAATCTTATTTTCCATACACAGAAGATAACCGAGTGGTCACTGAAGCAATCTGATAAAATACCAGAATCAGCTATTCTGTTGGGATGAGTGACCAAGATCCAGTCTAAGAGAGATCTGGAACTCCCAGCCACTCTTGTGGGTTCCTGTATTATCTGAGTGAGATGCAGGCTTTCCAATAAACTCTTCTCCTTAGCTGAAGACCTGTCGAGCCAGTTTCGGTTGAAATCACCCAGAACAATAAGTTCATCAGAACAATTAAGTGAATTAATAGTGGCAAGAATATTATTAATAGATTCGGAAGGAGAGTTAGGAGGCCTGTAGATATTACCAATAATCAGTTGTTTATGATCAAAACGTAGTCTCACAAAGAGGCACTCAAAGTGCAATGGGCTTTCATTTGGACTAACAACCTCTGAGGTCAAAGTAGAAGATATATAGGTAGCAACACCTCCACCACGACTGCCTCTATCTGCTCGATATAGGGTGTAACCCTCTAGGCTTATTTCAGCATCACATATTTTATTTTGTAACCAAGTTTCAGAAACAGTAATGACAGCAGGTTTGTTATAAGAAAGCCAAGCTCTTAGGAGATCAATTTTGTGAGGTAAGCTCCTGATATTTAAGTGAATGATAAATAAACCTTTACCCATATTCAAATAGAACCAAATAAGAGAGAGCAGGACACAGCGTAGGATAGAAGAGCAACACACACATACACACACATCTCACCACACACACACAAACACACATATATAGCCTTGACCGAAAAAGAAAGTAGACTATCTGCCAGCATACACAAAATATTATGATTATTCTTTTACTTCTTAATTTCCCATTAAGTCCACAAAAGGCAGCATCTATCATAACTAAAACAGAGAAAGGCCCGTTGTAGGGCGCACCAAAACAGCACATAAATGTGCAATCCAATAATAGGCCTATATGTCAACAGAGGGCTGCTTATCATACCAAATGCAAAGTATCTCAGTTTTGAGCAAAGGGACAATTAAGGAGTGTCTTTCACGAGTATTCAGTTTTCCATATCATTCATTGCCTTCAAAGGAAAAAAAAAAAAAAAAGAAAGAAAAAAGAAAAGAAACAGAAGAAGGGGAAAAAAGGTATGAAACAATTGCAGCATCTTCTGAACTCATATACAATAGGCTAAACTCAAAGTTGAGTCAGTCAGCATTTCCAATTTCCTGCAGAAACTGAAGCGCAGCGTTGGGTGTTTTAAACTGCACAGGTTTCCCGTTGATATCGACTACAAGTATAGCAGGGAAAGTCATGTGATAGTCCAGTTTACGTTGCTTAAGCTGTTTTTTAATGTCATCGAATTCACGCCGTTTGTTGATCACAGCCGCACTGAAGTCGGGAAATATATGAATCCGCTCACCATTGTAGACAAGTTGCTGCTTTTCTCTGGCCAGTCGAAGGACTTTCTCTCTGTCCTGAAGACTGAGAAATCTCACCATGATCACTCTTGGCTTGACGTTGTCCTGTGTTTGCTGTGTTGGATGGCGATTTGCCCCCTTCTTTGCTTGCTGCGCCTCGGAGCGCTGCGCCTTCACCTTGGGTTGCTGTTGCGCAGGGGAGCGATGGGCCTTCTCAATGGCCGGGGGTGTAGGGAAGTTTTCACTCCCGAAGAGGTGAACAATCAGGTTGGAGATAAATCCACGAGTATCCTTTCCCTCCGATTTTTCCGGAACGTGGACAAAGCGAAGATTGTAAGCCCGGCTTCGGTTTTCGATATCATCCAGCTTGGCGCGCAGGTATGCGTTTTCCTTTTCTAATACTTCCATTCGTTTCCCATAATCAGAGATGTTGTCCTCGTTGCTGCTAACTCTCTGCTCAAGCTGCGAGACATGCTCTCCTAAATTTGAAAGCGAGAGCTTTATTGTTTCCAAGTTACTCTGGATAGTGTCCATTCTTGCATCAAAATGACGCACCATTTCGGACTTTAATTGCTGGAGCGCGTCCAGGAGAACTTCATTTGCACCTGACTGCATCTTAGGGCTTGCTAAAGCGTCAGAACGTTTCTTGAAACAAAAAGTCGGCTGCAATTTTCATATAACTTTAAGTTCTACAACATGTTTCAGTAATTAGAGATAATTGAAGGCCATATCTTTCGAAAAAAGTTTGTTTGGCAGAGCAGTCTGCAACACAAAACACTCACGCAGCCGCCATCTTAATTCAGATCTGGAGGATCTGAATTCCAAACAACCTCTGACATAACTGACATGAGATGAAGGCTTGTCTATGAAAATAGACTCAAAGGTGGAGAGATGGTAGCATCTGATGTTCTAAGATCTGTGGGGAAAATAGGGCCAAAAGTAGCAACAAAGAAGAACCTTTAACCTTTGTTTTGCTCACTGTCAGACAGAAAACACAGATAAACATTTTTACTTAGATTCTGATTTGTATTTCAGAGGATTCCTTTCACCGGATCCATCCATGGAGGCCTGCAGGAGGGCAAGTCGATCCTCATCAGCGGACGAGTCCTTCCTGGAGTAGACCGGTTGGTAACTTTTCAGAGAAGCAACTTCATTCTTTATTTTAAAAAATGTCTGCACCCTCCATAGTGGCGTCATCACGTATCACTCCTCCCGCCAGATTCAAACAGCTTCTCTAATGTTTGTAAAAAATCTGCTGATGTTTTTTTGCCTAAATTTGAACAGACACTTTGAACCGTTTCTAAAACCACCATAATCGGTCCCACATTTCATAAAATCTGCTGTGTTTTTACTCCTCAGGTTCCACGTGAACTTACAGTGTGGTTCCAGTCAGGGGACGAACATCGCCTTTCATTTCAACCCACGTTATAATGACGGCCAGCCTTACGTGGTCACCAACACCTTCCAGTACGGTAACTGGGGCTCAGAAGAGAGGAAGCTTAGCTCGCCTCTCCCTCCTGGCTATAACTTCACCCTGCAGATCACCGTTACGCGGGATTTCTACCAGGTTGGCATCATCACCCAGTTCTTAAACAAAAAAAAAAAACAACAACTTGGTCTGGAAAAGAAAGTCTGCACAGATTTCCATTTATCACTGCTTCCAAAAATGTCACTGGTTGCTATGGTGATTACCTCCTCTTTCCCCGAAGAGAATAGAAGAGGGAAGTCTTAAACTGAAAGTCACTGTGTGAAAGCTTTCTATAGCCAGGGAGTTAAAGGGTTAAATATCAAAGTTCTCTATTTTAAAGGATCATATATTTTCAGACTTAATCAAACCCTGACATTTTATAGGAAAATAATCTCAAAGAATCATCAAACTAAAATGTTATTGTGTGAAAACTGTTGAAAGGCCATGAAGATGATCAGCAAGTCCAGCTTCCTGGTTGCCCTTTACATTTTTAGTAATTTTTCTTTAGAGAAAGTCAAGTGGAGCTATTATTAAAAATTCCTCTTACCTTTGAATGAATCCAATAAAAGTATCACAACCTCATGTAACAAAATAATATTCACAACACTGTGAGAAGAACTAGAAGATCATTTTAATAAAGTTTGTTCCACACTGCTGGTAAAACAAGAAATGGTTAAAAAAAAACTGATATCATTTAATTACGATTTTATAAAACAACCTGTGGAGAAATTGCTTTTTTTAAATCCTTCTAGGTGAGCGTAAACGGCAGCCACTTCACGGATTACAGACATCGTATCCCGTTCCAGCATGTTGACACCATATCAGTCGCTGGAAAAGTGGAAGTTTCCTTTATATCATTTTCAAACCCTAATGTGAGTAAAAAAAAATCTGACTGTCTGTAACAGAAAGTTGAGTAAGTTGGAGTTTTAGAGACTAATAGGACAAATCCTCAGACTGATTATTTTCTGCTCTGCGGGAATTTCCTCAGCAAGGTTTTCCCACCCAGCCGGGTTTTCCATCCTTTCCGGGGTTTCCTCCTCAGCCTGGATTCACACCCCAGCCAGGATTTCCTCCTGCAATGCCTGTGAGTAAAAATCATCTTCAGGTCCAGTGGTTTTAATCCTCAGAGGTCTGAGTTGTCATTTATTTCCATCCAAACACCAGATCCTCTGTAGTCTCTTCTCCCTATTTGCACAGGTTGTTCCATATAACAACTACATCAGTGGCGGAATCCAGCCAGGCAGAACCATCACCATTCAGGGAATCATCCCGCCCAATGCCACAAGGTAAAGAAACAGACCTTTGTTTCTGTAGGAGCCATAATGATGGCTGTGCATGTGTATGTATCACGTGGGCATAGTTGCTGTGTTGACACATGCGGTGACAGCTGATTGCTTAAATGGGTGTGTTTACCTGCACTCCGGAGGAGAGAGGGGAGCGGGGTAGCCGTATTTCTTGTTGACCGTTTGCTTTATGATCTAAATCAGTATGTCACATCATGTACGTTCCAATCTGTTGTGAGTGACTACATGAGCCTCTGGACAGGATTAAAACACCAAAGCCTATTCCTGGATTCCGTGTGCATTTTTGATCAAAGACGGCAGCGCGTCATACACATACAGGACTCTATCTCCACCTCTCAAGCGACAAGGATTGCGAAGGAGTCGCTACAGTTTCATTTCATTTACAGATCAAACCTTAACAGCAGAGGTTTGGTGAGAGGAAGTTGAAATACATCTCTTTTCCTCCCCCTGACCCACATAAAAGGTGATACTGAATCTGTTCTGCCAGATTTATAGTGAATAGAATTTCCTGCTGAAACTTTTCATGGTCGGCTTAATCAATTAAAGCTACAGTCCTTGTAGTACTGGCAGCTGTAGGTGACATTAGTTCAGGGGTTGGCAACCCGCGGATCCGGAGCTGCATGAGGCCCTTTAGCACCCTTTTCAAAAAGCTTTTTTTAATTTTTGGATGGTGTGCAGGAGATCAAACAAACATTCATTATGTTTTTCAATGCTGTAAACATTTGTATAATAAAACAATAAATGTAGCATTTACATTCAACCCCAGGCAAACAAAGGGGGGGGGGGGGGTCTCGGACAGTAGATCCAAAAGGGAAAAAGAGGAAGATACCTGATGAAAACAGAGGATTCAAATAAAAACAGACCAAATCATTTGCTTTCATTATCAATCCTGAAGGATTGCCTGCACTTTTGCTCAGCAATGAGATGCCGTCAAATAATAAAAAGAGGAAAGGCATTTCGAGGGAAGATATGCATATAAATATGCAGCCGATCATAAAGTTCTGCGAACTTGCAGAACTTCTGGATAAATTAGCGGAGAGCAAAGATAGATTCAAGAAGTATCTCCAAACTCCACTACTGCTGCTAGTTCTGTTGCCAGCATGGAAAACTGTCCACAGATCCAACAGTTAGTTCTTTTATGCAGGGATGTGGATTTTCTTCCATTTTATTTCCTCAAATGCTCAAAATATAAATAACACCAAGGAACGCTGGTGAAGGAGGATGGGTTAGAGAGCTCTGCTCTGATGGACGTCACTTCCTGCTTGGTTCCTTATTACTCAAATCTTCCCAACAGAAACACGTCGTCCACCATAGAAAGTTTCCTTAATTGTGTTTCGATAATTTCATCAATACAACAAAACCTAAAACGTGCAGCGCGCTGAGAACGTTCACTGCTCCTCCCTCACCTCAATCTACCATTTGACATTTGCTCCAGGATAAATATTTAAAATTTGAATTTCTTAAAATCTTTGGCCAAAGCTTTGGTTGTCGTTTCCACATTTAAGACAAAGTTGCACAATGTTTGTTTTTTTATGGGAAACAATTCAATTCAATTCAGTTTATTTATATAGCGCCAAATTCACAACCCATGTCATCTCAAGGCACTTTACAGTTCAACCAGATCATACAGTCAAATTGATACAAAGTTTTCTATCTAAGGAAAACCAGTTGATTGCATTGACTCATTGACTCAAATACAATCCCTCACACTAAGCATGCTTGTAGCGACAGTGGAGAGGAAAAACTCCCTTTTAACAGGAAGAAACCTCCAGCAGAACCAGGCTCAGTGTGAGCGGCCATCTGCCGAGGCCGACTGGGGTTCAAGGAGACAGAAGCAGAGATACAAAAAGCAGCTGTAAAAGGCGGCCCCGTCCAGGAAACACACAGCCAGGCAGACGAGCTCCAAGGCAGCTCCCATGCCAGAGGACGAAGAGAGCACATCCACCCAGCCACGGCCAGAGAAACAGGACCACACTGGAAAACAGGCCGATCTCCCAACATCTACAAACAAGGGTGTTGATGGCAGCAGCACAGCTGATGTTTCTTTCCTGGATGACGTCACAGCCAAACAGGAACAGACGAGGCAAAGCTACTCTGAGGAAAAGCAGAGAGAGCAGAAGGTTAGAGATTGAACAAACAGATTCTGCAGAATAGGAGAACAGAGAGAGAATGAAGCAGAATGATGAAATGGGGGTCCCTATGTCCTCCAAAAGTCTAAGCATATAGCAGCATAACTATAGAGATAGCTCAGGATAACCTGAGCCACCCTAACCATAAGCTTTATCAAAAAGGAAAGTTTTCGGTCTAAAAACAAGATTGAACAGCATTTGTGTTATGTAAGGAGCTGGTGGAAAAGGGTCAGGAGTTTTGTTTACTGTCAGCACATCTATCCTTCAAATACAGCAAAGATAAAGAACACAGCTGTTGAACCTAAAAACATTAAATATTTAATGTGAGCTTCCTGCTGCTGTTTCCATATTGCTTTTGCTCCTGGTCACTGCTGGATAAACTAAGTTATTGCCATTGAAACTTTCCAAGTATAGTGGGATTACTTGCCTCTATAAACTGTATTTATAGGTTACTTTAGAGGTTGGAAGTTATTTTTAGAAATCTTTGTAAAAAGAGAAAAAAGAAGAAAAAAAAAGAAGAAAAGAGGAAGAGAGAGAGAGAAAGAAAGTGAAAAAAGGGCAAACATTTAAACCTGAATGCTTATTATATATTAAGGCCCAGATAGTCCTTTTTTATAGTGGTCTAATACACTTACTGCCCATGTTGCCATACGAGGCTTATATAAAACTTTACATATTTGCGGCTCCATAAACAATTGCATTTTGTTTTTTTTGGTCCAATATGGCTCTATGAACAGTTTGGGTTGCCGACCCGTGCATTAGGTGGTGTCATGATCCGCAGGATTATTAGCCCAGATGCAGAGCACACACACGGAGGCAGAGGTAAAGTCCAAAGATTTATTGGTTAAAAACAGGGTTCTGGAAGGCAGAGAGAACAAACAGGTCAGGTTCAGGTACCGGTACAGGTTTCCAGAAACAGACAGGCAGGGTGGCTCGGGCTTGCTAAACAAAACAATCCGGCCTCGAGTGACGCTCTCTGCCAGCTTATGTAGGGAGGGCTAATCAGCTGATGGGGAACCCAACACTGAACCCAAGCTCCCCAGGAATAGATCCACGGCGCCCTCTGGTGGGCAAGGCCCCGGATCCTAACAGGTGGAACCACTACATCATTGCCAAGTTAAGTGTGGAAAGAGCTGAGTTGGTTATTAACTGGAACCAGTTTACATATTAAATATGCTAATTCTTGTTAAGCCTGGTAACTTAGAACCAGTAAATTAATGGAAGCTATATGTGTTAAAGGGGCTTAAGGTGACTTTAACTCCTCAAAGAAAGAATTAAACCACAATAAAATTAAACTGCATAACTCACACTATTGCGATATAGAAAAATATCTTGTATGAAAAACAATTTAATGTTTATTTTAATTTGCCAGTTAATGGCAGAACATTCAGGCAATAAACCCCCTTTGCTTGTCCTCCATCCAAAGTTGGTATCACCTTAGCCACTTTCCACCAAGCCTGGTTTGTCATGAACCGAGGACAGATGGACCCAGTATTCAGGAGAGACAGTCAGTAGGAAAGTTCAAAAGATTTATTAAAATAAAAACAAAACAAAAGCGGAGCTGTAGCTCGCGGACACTGCAGGCGGGGGGGCGGGGCACCGCCCAATCTCAGACACTCTAGGGGGGGAAACACAGGTAAGTGACCACGATAAACTGATGTATGATTATCTGGGTTGGTCACTTACCTGGTTTAACAGTCCAGACCACGAGTGTCCCCAGTGCTGCAGTCCCAGAGGTGATGCTGGAAGCTGATCCTGGTGAGGGATCCAGAACAGACAGGAACAGACAGGAACAGGCAGGATCCAGATCAGACAGGAACAGAAACAGGTTGCAGGATCCAGACTTCCAGGCATCCACAGGCTCCCAGGAGGGTTCAGAGTCAGACTGGGACCAGAAGCATGACCAGGTGGTCACGCACAGGAGCAGACAGGATCAGGTGCAGACAGGCAGGCACAGTGGAAGAGGGTAGCCGAGACAGGACGTAGGAACCGGAACTTGAATCAGACTTTAAACTGGTCTCCTCCCTGGAGCCAGGCTTACTTAGATAAAAACTGAACCTCCCCCCATAATGAGCCAAAAACCCAGAGGACTCCACGGGGGAGGAACAGTGGACAGTCAGGAGACAAGACAAACACTAAAACCCTCTTTCCACTGGCAGCTAGGATCCAGGACATGAACCAAATAAAACTGGACAGACTAACAAAAAGACAAGCAATGATCTCCCCCTGAATGCTCAGGCTGAACTGAATATAAACCACAGGAAACAGCTGAGAGGAATAAATTATGATTGGGGCAGGGAAGGAAGAGGGCAGGTGAGAGGAATTACTAATTAGGGGAGAGCAAACAGGCCAGATCATGATATTGTTAACTTCACTGTTTGCTCTACACTGGCATAGCTATTAGTGAGGGTGGTTGAACTTACAAAAAATGGTGCCAAAAGTTTATAACCAAATAATTTTCACTGTTTGGCGACAACAAACTGTTATAAATAGAGGAAACATCAGAAAGATTATTATTATTATACATATTGATCCATAGCATTCCTTGACAGTGTCGTTTCTAAGTCACCAATTTAGTGCTACTTGGTCCCAATGGAATTTCCAATTGGGAACCTACTAGCACTAAGTTGCTAACTGGTTAGCTAGATCCTTCCAACAAATCGGCCACAACCAAACTTGCTTGTGAACCTTCCGCCACAACAATCGCGCCCCAATCCCGCCAGGCTGCTGCCTTAACATCTCACTCCGAGGGTTGATAGCTCTGCAGATCCCCTCATAAATGCCTGGCAGCCTAACATTGGCCAAAACAGCCTCCAACATCTTCTGAATTTCCCGATATGCCAGGTTGCTGTTGTTTACAACCCCAAAGACCAGAAATCCTGTTATAAAACATCCAGATATGTATGCATCTTCTACATCCTCGACAGATATCATCATCAGGCACACAGGCACACACAGTCTTCCACAGGAATCAAACCGAACCATAGGCGAAGTTTCACTTTTGCATCAGGGGGGACAAAAATTGCTTTTTTCACACACACACAAACACACACATACACACACACACACACACCCACACACACACATAAAGCGCATTATGCACGAGGGCAGAAGTGATTAGATAATTTTAAACACAAGTTGTTACATTACTGCATACAGTACAATGTAGTTGCTAGAAGTATTCATTTAAAAAAGAGTTACCTGGTGCAGAAGTAAGGGAGTAAACCGAGTATTCAAGCCAACAGTACTTGTTGTAGTGGTACATGGAAAAGGCTCGTTTAGGCTTTCCAAACAATCATCAAGGAAAATCCAGAAGAATAAGCTGCTTAGGACAGCAGTGCTGTAGTACAGCTGTTAGGCAAGCTAACTGACCCCGACGACAGCTCCGCAAGATCCGATGATGAGCTAGCCGGGCAGTGCCCCCCCCAAAAACTCCGCCCATGAACTGAACATTAATTTCTGCCTCTTTGGATCAAACTCTTTGGTCTGTAAAGTGACATAATGCCTCCTAATGTCTCACCCCATAGCTGATGATTTGATCTTATTAGATTTTAGCTTAAAGTTTAATCCTGTTTGTTTAAAAAATGCACTGTCTCATGTTTTGTTTCCTCCCAGGTTCCACGTGAACTTCAGCCACCAGTATGGAATCGCTCTGCATTATAATCCACGTTTCAACGAGAACACGGTGGTCCGAAACACCAAGCAGCATGGGCAGTGGGGCTCTGAGGAACGTATGGGAATAATGCCATTCCAGCGAGGACAGGCTTTCACGGTATGAAAATATTAATGTTAAAATCCCTGACATCTCATGCACCACTGTTCCAAATAATGTGTGCAGTGGCGTTAATCTCAGTGTTTGGCTGATTCAGCGCTGGGTTCTCTACTTCCTCTGTGATGTCATTGTCTATTTGTTGAATTTTTTATATTTAAAGGCTTTACTGACCATCTAGGGATTAAACATTCATTATTTCTTAGGGTCATTGAGTGATACAATTACCATTAGCTGAATTAGAGAAAAAATGTCATGCTGTCAGTTTGACTCGGTCAAATTGATTCTTGGGAAAAGCTTTTTTTCTTCACTGATTTTATAGCAGTGTGTCTTACCAAGGGATATGCGTTGGTAATCAGGGCGAGAAGGCCATTAGATGACCTCAGTCCAAAAAGGACTGGAGGGAATCCCAAATAAAGTTAAAAACAAACCACTGGACTTTTTATTTTTTTTAAGACGTTTTACTTCCCATCCAGAAAGCTTTCTTTTTGGTTTGTGCGTCAGGCTTTCTGTCCTCAGACAACACCGGGCTGAGCATGTCCCTACTGAAACAGAAGGGAAGCACAAAGAACAGAAACACATCAAAGATGCTCTGCAAACCTCTTGATACCCAAACTGGGAGTCAAATCATTAAGGAAATACAAAAAACATGCAGCAGACCATAAAGGTGAGAAGATTAAACGCAAAAATATCGCCATCCCATATGTTGCTGGAGTCTCTGGAAAAAACTCAAGAGGACTTTCTCCAAAAGCAAAATCCCAGTACAATTCAAACCAAACAGGACCCTTAGACAGAGGCTGGTGCATCCTAAAGACAAAACCTAGGATGAGCAAGTTGCGTATGCAGTTCAGCGCAGTGAGGAATGCTCTGATATTTATATTGGAGAAACCAAACAACCTCTCCACAGACGCATGGCCCAACACAGGACAGCTACCTCCTCCGAGCAAGACTGCTTTCCATCTACACGTTAAGGACAAGGGACATTCATTTGAGGACCAGAATGTTCACATTTTGGACAAAGAAGAAAGGTGGTTTGAAAGGGCTGTGAAGGAAGCCATTTATGTTAAGAGAGAAAAACAAACCTTAAAGCCGTAGGAAAATCATTTTTAAATGTCAAATCATAATCATGTATATAAATGTACTCTTTATCAGACCATATTGTCCCAAAATGTAGAAAATTTCTATTAAAAAAACAAACCTGTCTTAAAATCTGTGTTTTTTTTGTTATTTTCTGCAGGCCAGTATACGTCAGCTTGTTCACCTAAATTCAGTCAATCATATATTAACGGTCATCTGTCAATCAAATCTTTTCAGTCATAGCATCTTGATTCATATGTCGCAGCTAATATATACAGTGGTTAAAATAAGAACTATTTACTTTACCATTGAGTTCCGTCCCAGTGTTGACGGGGATGGAGGTCTGTGTCTTCAGCAGGCGTAGAGCTAACAGAACTGGCAGCGTTGCGAGGCCAGGGCTCAAACATGTACGGCTGTAAGCCTTCTACACCAAACCAAGCTTCTGCCGCCTGGCGTCCTCTTCCACAACAACTTCGTCTTCACCTTCCTCCACTAAATAAAAAAATGTATGATGGAGGAGACTCATCCAGTGTCGTTTCTAAGTCACCAATTTAGTGCTACTTGGTCCCAATGTAGTTTCCCATTGGGAACCTACTAGCACTAAGTTGCTAACAGGTTAGCAAGATGCTTCCGATAAACCGGCCAGAACCAAACTTTCTTGCGAACCTTCCGCCACATAAATCCCGCCCCCTTGATAAACGACCAATCACATTTACTTTATTCATGTGTCTAAAGTCGTGCACCACTCAGGAGAATTTGGAAATGCAACCGTTGAAAGAGCCGCTGGCCTACGACTTCAAACAGAAGAGGAAAACTCGGGTCTAGGAATCGCATAACACAGCTTTAGCGTTGATTCTTCCCAATAATCACCTCATTCCTCATCACCATGCAGGTGATCAAAACATTGCTCCTGTAAGCCATGCAAATTATGACCCTAACAACTCTCCATTACAGAGGCGTGGGCCAGTTTTGGTTCAACTTGCAGGCCAACAACAACCACGAAGACTCCCAATTACAAAGGGGTGGACCTGTTTCGGTTCAATTTGCCTGTTTTCTAAATCAAAACAATGCTTTCGTTGGGCTAATCTGTAGCCCACCGCTTCACTTCTGTCAGTGAGCCCCAGGGCAGCTGTGGCTACAATGTAGCTTCCCACCATCAGTGTGTGAGTGAATGGCTGAATGACTGAATGTAGTGTAAAGTGCTTTGGTCAAGTCTCCTGACTTGAAAAAGTGCTATAAGAGTACAGGCCATTTACCATAAAGCCTGGAGCTCCACACTACTCTGTCTCGGTTCGGTTCGCGTGTGTTGCGTTCGGTTCATGCGCAGCTCCTTTTTCTCATAGGCGAAGCGTGTACACTCCAGAGCAGAAGGTGGCGGTACTGCGACCAAAGCCAACCACCAGTAGTAAACAAGAAGAAGAAGCGAAGCAGCATAGCCAGGTGTAGCAGAGAAAAAAATCAGTTGTTGTGGAGAATTGTGTGGGTATGGCGAGTGGGAAAGAACAGGAGTTGGAAGATGCGCCAGCAGCACTTTATAGTATGGGACCACTTTGCCTTTAGAGTGACCTACGATGACGGCGGAAAGAAAGTTGTGCATAAAAGTGCAACAGTGTGCAAGCATTGTGCAACATGTTTTGTTTATGCTAACAGCAACATGACCAACATGTCATGCTAACCCTGAAATCCCACATGCTCCGTCAGCGCTCCGCTCCGCCTCGCTGCGCTCCAGACCGCCTGCACAAAGCAAAGCCTACAGCCTCGGCTGTGGCTCCCTTCCACTCCGCTCTGAGTTCCTTGGAGATCGTAGAGCGCATGCGCGAGATGATTAAATTCAAAGCAGCAAAACATCCAGCAAATGAACCAGGGTTTCCGCGGATCATTAAAAATAATTACAATTCATAAATTTTTTTTGGATTTTTTCATTGATTTCATAAATTTTTATGGGATTTCGGTGTAACAATCAACATATACTGAACCACGAAACCGTGAACCGAACCGAACCGTGGAATTTTTTGAACCGTTCCACCCCTACTCTAGACATTTTAAATAAGAAAGCTTTCTGGATGGGAAGTGAAAGGTCTTTAAATTTGAAAAAAAAAAAAAGTCCAGTTGTTTGTTTTAAACTTTTTTTGGAATGACTATGACCTGGATGATTGGAGGAAATGTATAAACTACAGACAAAAGAGGAAATCTAGGTTTCTAGTTTGGTGGGCTCCGTTGCCTCCTCCAGAGGCAGAGTTGTTGCTCCTTCCTTCTACTATACAGTAAAGTATTCCTGGCTATGTCTGGTTCCCCTTTTTGTTGGCTGTTGCTGTTGTTAATATGGCTAAACCGTGACTAGACTGTTAGTTTTCTGTATCTTCTGTATCTTCAAGCCTCCCCAGGCTGATACAGATTAGGTTGAAGGAAGAGGTTGTATTTAGCTTTCTGTAAGAAATCCCAAAGACATTTAAGCAGTTAGGATGACCTCTCTGAACCTTGTTTCTTCCAGCTGACCATCATCTGTGAACAAAGATCCTTCAGGATTGTAGTGAACGGGATGCAGGCCCACACCTACAAACATCGCTTCACTCCTCTACATAACATCAATAGCCTGGAGATCGAGGGAGACATCCAGCTGACCTCAGTCATGGTTTAGATTCTGTGTTCAGTCACAGAAAGGGAACTTGTAAAACCTCTCTGCTTCCACCAAAGAAAAACAACCCAAAACACGTATTTCTTTTTTTATTACAGAAGTTTTTAATTTCTGGAAACTACTGATGTTCAAGTGGCAAAGTTTGTCATTTACTACCATCTAGTGGTCAAGTTGTATACAAAAAACAAATAGAATCAACCTGGATCCATCTTGGCATTATAAAACTATCATCCATCCAGAGATTTTCTCTTGCTAACTATTCCTTCTGTATTTAGTTTTAGTTTCTTGTCTTGGCTCAGTTTCCTTTTGTTGGTTTATGCTCATTTACACACTTTGTTCCTTTTCCATTACATTTTATCAGCCTCTAATAGATGTTACTTTTTCAAACTGTGACTTAAAAAGAACCACCAACAAGATCTACCTTCACCCCCCTCCCTCCCCCCATGTATCTGTGTTTATTGTTCCCGTCTACATCAATAAATCATGTTATGGACCACTCTATTTGTTGATGTTTTATTGTGTTGAACGGATGAACACCTGATGACCAGTATGACTGAGTAATTAAGGGGCCTAAGACCAAAGTCTTGCCCGTCCAACCCCCTCTTCTATGTTATCCTATGCTACATGTCAGTCTTACTGTAAATTGAGGTTTGCATCTATCTGATGTGGGACCTAGTCGTTACTTCCTGCCTTTTCATTCAGCTCCCTTTGTACCTCAACAGACTGCAGCATCATAGCTGCAGCACTGATCCATCTATCCATCTCCTCTCACTCCTTAACAGAACCCCCAAAACACTTCAACTCCTGAAGTTGAGACAGGGACTCTCCTCTGACCTGAAGGAGACAATCCTCTGTCCTTGGCTGCTCCTAGAGTTATTAGCAGACCCGTCAGAGTCAGTATTTTCTATCATGATGACGTCTGCTCTCTGGTCCTGATGTCTACGACTGAATCCCAAACCAGCCCCTAAGCACTAACCCTCCGTTTGGATTCCTGCGGAGGGTCAGCCACATTAAGGGCTGTCCCAAACAACGTAGTGGGTTGGGCCAGTGGACTGTTCAGCTGTTATATAGCCTGTCTGCAGGCTTGCTGGAATTTTGTTTGGCAGATATAATGGCAAAGTATTTGCAGAGGAAACACGTGCATTCCTATGTAAGTTTAGCTGGTTTCCTGCATCTTCATCTCAACAGAAAATGAAAGAAAATAATGTTAGAAAAAATATAATAATCCCTCAATGGAAGGTCCTCTTTGAAATAGTTTTATTTGACTGGAAGGAACTATTTTTACGAAAACGACGAATGTTTGATATTGTGTTAACCTGCGCCACAGATCTACAGCCACACACATGCAGTCAATGTGTTGCCATAGAAACGACTGCTTTCCTTAGGAGGGAAGAGGCTGTCCCATTCACGTTTAAACCCCCCTAGGCAGGGGCGCAACTACATATTTTTGAGGTGGATGCGAAAACACATGATCGGCGCCCCCCCCCCCCCGTACAGTAACCGAAAGAACACAATGAGAGATGGTGATCAGAAATTCAAACCATTATGGTATATATGTTTTTGCTGCCTCCCTAATGTATTTATTCCTACCTGATGTCCTCACTTGTCTCTTCTATCACCGACCTCATGTCTGTCTCCTTCACCCCTTGTCTGTGGCGTTCTCCACTAAGTCATATGGTCAAAAAGCATTATAAATTATTTGTAAAAATTACAGATCTTAATACAGTTTTTAAAAATAATGTTTAAACATTATCGATTGGGATTAAGTAGCTTTTCCCTCACTTCCACCTAATATTAGACCAACCTGTTGCTTTCACCTGTCTGTCCTGATTCTTCCTCTGTCATCTTCTCTTCTTTCTCTCCATCCTCACAGCTGAATTAAATTAATTTTATGTTAAGTAGGGTTAAAAAATACAGCAGTCAAACCACAATAAAAATGAATCTTTAAATTTGAATGATCTTCTTGTTGGATAACAGCTACTGACTGGACACTGCATCTGATCTGACTTATCAGATACATCACAACACCACTGTAGTGATACTGAATAAAACATTTAAACTAAATTGTCTCCCTGCCAAAAAGGTTGGTAACATGGGTCACCGAGTCTAAAGGCTATAATGACACTGGATTAATGTGTCTGATCGTATGACTGAAGATGATGTTCTCAGTGAGTCACTTACCTGGTTTAGCAGTTCAGTCCATACCCCTTGAGAGGGGTGCAATCCAGCCGATGGGCTGACAGCTGACGCGGCTCGCGTCACCCAGAGTGTCCCCGCTGCTGCAGCTCCGGAGGAGTTGCAGGAAGCCAATCCTGATCAGGGATACAGATCAGGTAGGAACGGACAGAACCGGATGCAGGTCAGACAGGAACAGAACAGGTGGCAGGATCCAGGCTTCCAGGCAAAAACGAGCTCCCTGACAGGTTCAGAGTCTGACAGAGACCGGAAGCATGACCAGGCGGTCACGCACAGGAACAGACAGGATCAGGTGCAGACAGGCAGGCTCAGTGGAAGAGGATAGCTGAGACAGGACGTGGAATCAGAACTTGATGCAGGAACTTTAAACTGGTCTCCTCCCTGGAGCCAGGCCTACTGGAATAAAAGCTGAACCTCCCCAGAGGACTCCGCGGGGAGGAACAGTGGACGATCAGGAGAGGAGACAAACACAAAAACCCTCTTTCCACTGGCTGCCAGGATCCAAATCATAAACCAAGAAATCAACATAACAGAGTAACTGAGAACAAATAATGATCTGGCACTGAATGCTCAGGCTGAACAGAAATTTTGAATTTAAAAAGAGTATGATTCTTTTTCAACAAAAAAAGAAAAGATAAAAAGTTTATTCGAAGGCAAAGTAGCATTCAGGCATACATACACATCAACTGAATCAGTGATATGTGCCCTGACCTGAAGGTTGACAGACTTTTTTTTTTATCACATTTGGAAAACACACTCAAACACGAGTGAGCAAACAGATGTGAAAAGTGTACCACACTTCCAATGGAACAGGTCTCTTTGATCAGGAAACAAAATAAACAAATGTGAAAAACAATACACTCTGACACCATGCATCTTCAAAGAAACAAGATAAGGTTTTGCAGGAAACCAGGGTAATAAATTCTGCTTCAAAGCAGCAAGATGAGGGGTTTACTTCTTCACAGAAACAGGAGGTCACAACAATCCATGGACCACATGGATGCAGACAGATAGACATATAGTAAAGCAAGTAAGAAAATATTAATTCATGCAAAAATTTCTCATGCAAGATGAGATTAAGTCTTGTCTATGAAAATTAGTGTTGCACCGATACCGATACCAGTATCGGACGGGGCCCCGATACTGCCCTAAAATTATGGTATCGGTATTGGCGAGTACCAACAAATAGGGCACAGATACCATTTTGAGAGCAATAAGTTTATTCAACTATTGTCACCCATTCCATGTGTTGGGATCTGGAGATCTGTCCACCTTTCTCCAACAGAGGGCGCCCTAGGTCTCCTGGAGCTGAAGCTGACTACCACACCTGCGGCTGATTTGCTCATCAGGGAGACCAGCATATAAGCAGCGGCAGGACTACTCTTCAGCGCCAGAGTGTTAAGCCAGTTATGGTTAGCAAGCCTGAGCCAACCAGCCTGCCTGATTCTCTGCCTCCCTGAAAGCCTGACTTGAACCTAATCAGTTTTTTGTCCTCTCTGCCTCCTAGGAAGAACCTGACTGAAACCTGAAGCTCTGGAAGAACGTCTCAACTGGAAACCTGCCTGCCTACTCTCAGTAACAAACCTGAAGATCAAACTGTCTGGATCTACCTACCTTCCTCCAAGAAGGTCTTGGAGAAGCTCTGAACACTACAAGCCTGAAGCTAGGTCCTGTCGCTGCCAAGCCCTCTGCCTTCGATCAGTCTCTAGACCCTCCTGGTTCCCTCCCTCTGCCGGTCAGCCTGAATCTCTGAACAGGTACAGATCTGCACATTCACTCAGCTACAAGATCATTAGCTGCCTGGCTAACCTAACTGTCCCTCTCTGCAGAGAGCCTTGTGTGACCAGTCCCGGATCTGATTCCAGTATCTGTCAACTAACCTTGTGCTTATCTTCAATAAACTGTTAAACTTTTACTCTGACTCCTTGGTGTTCTGCATGTGGGTTAGAAACCTGAACCCCAACATGACAGAACACTCTGGCCAACAACCTAACCCAGCAGTTCACCTCCGGAGGATGATTGAGGAGCAGGCTGCTCTAATCCAAGGACATCACACCACGGAGTTAACTACCCGTTTGGATCAACAAACTCAATCTTTTCAGGACTTAGCCGGCTATCTGAGAAATTCTAACACGGAGCCAGCTCAACTTCCAGTTCCGGAGCCAAACCCGCCTCCAAGGTCAGAACTAGTTCCGTCACTTCCTGAATTCCGTCCGTCACTTCCGGAGAAATTCTCAGGTACAACGAGTAAATGCAAAGGATTTTTATTCCAGTGTAAATTGATTTTTGAACACTCGCCTACTAGTTTCTCTAATGACAAGAGAAAAATTTGTTTCGTCCTCTCTCAATTGACCGGAAGAGCCCTCGAATGGGCGGAAGCCCGTTTTGCCTCAGAATCCAGTTTCAGGTGTACTTTTGACCAGTTCATTAAAGAATTTTGTCAAGTCTTTAATCAAGACTCTGTTAAATCAATTGACTCTAGAGCTCTACTTAGTCTCAAACAAGGAAATCAGACTGTGGCCGATTTCTCGATTGACTTCCGGGTCAAGGCGGCAGCTTCTGGTTGGAATGAATGTGCGCTTAAGAGCGCCTATTTCAAGGCTTTAAATAAAGAAATTAAAGATGAACTCGCCACAATCGATGAACCAGCGACTCTGGAGGATTTAATCAGGCTTACAATTCGTCTGGATAGTAGACTCAGAGCCAGAACCAGATCTAAGCAAAGGAGCCATGTTTTTCATGTAACTGCCCCAGTAACTAACAGCTCTTCTGTGTTTTCTGTACCCCCAGAGTCCGATTCCAGACCAAGGAGTCGAAATCAGTCAGTGTCAGTTCCTGCTCACGTAACTCGTGTGGTTCTCCCCTCGACAGATACTTCTGAGGTTGAACCTATGCAGATTGGTCATACCAGACTCTCCAATGAGGAAAGACAGAGAAGATTCAAGGGGAATCTATGCATGTACTGTGGTGAGCCCGGCCATTTTCTCTCCACCTGTCCCGCTAAATCAAAAGCCGGGGTCCGTCAGAGGATGTGAGGAGTCTGGCGGACCATCTCCAATCTGATAAATCTCCTCATCTTCTGCTACTAGCCACCCTGTTTACTTCTGATCAGACTCTCACACTATCTGCCTTTATTGATTCTGGTTGTGAGAAAAATTTAATAGACTCTAATCTGGTTCAACAGTTGAACATTGAACCCATTCCTCTGAAGAAACCTCTTAGAGTTTCAGCCATTGATGGAAAGAGGTTACATCAAGTTACACATCAGACTCTGCCTCTTGAACTCCTGATCTCTGGAAATCATA